ATCAGTATGCTATGCTTTCTGTGCATCATCAGTATGCTATGCTTTCTGTGCATCATCAGTATGCTATGTTGTCTGCATCATCAGTAATAATTTGGTGATAATAACCAAGGGGGTGAGAGATTACCGTAAAATCTGTTTTAGAAGCCGCATCTCTAGCTAATATAAGTTGCACCAATTCTTTTTGAATAATTAAGAACCAAACATTCACAATTTCTCATATGTGTAGATGCTCTAATTGAAGCCGCATCCCCTCTGTTGCATTGTACCATTTTAAAAGAAGCCATAGCTTCTAATACATATTTTACAGTAATTTATGTTGTCAAATATTTTTTTTGTCCTTTAATATCAAATTTGTGGACCCTGTCACTGGACACTGGTAGCATAGTGGTTTTTGCATCAGACTTATGATCGGTAGACCTAAGTTCAAATCCTACCTTAGACTGAACATCAAATGGGTCGACCCCTACCCTGGGTGAGTGTGCCACAGACTCAATGGGAAGGCCAATTCCACTGGCTGAGATTCATTCACTAACGAATGCGACTTTAGGGTTAAGGTCCGCAGATGCTTTTGTTTGACCAAGCCTGGTTGACGCCAGGATAATGCATTAAAATTGCCATTTGTGGACCCTGTCATTTCTAATTCTCCAAACACAGGATGCTTTCTCCGACTATACTGTTTGCCAATCTCTTGTGAACTATGTGATACCACAGAAAGAATTACCACAAAATTTTGAAACAGATTGCCAATGTATTGCTATACCCAGAAATATATTGACAACTTGATTGATGAAATATTTTTTCGTAGACGTCACTCATTAGATATCCTCTATTATTATTTTGACCTTTGACTTTAAACATCAAATTCAACTTTTGTCACTTTGCACCAAATAATACAGTACCAGATTTGTTTCTAAAATACACACCTCTTACATGATATGAAACAATCGCACACAACCATCGGTTAACCAAATTCAGCAAAATTTTTGAGCACCACCATCTTAAAAAGTGTACGATCTCTACTTAGCATCAGTGTGTGTGAACGATTAGTGCCGCTTCACTGAACCACATATAGCCAGGATGTTTATATTCTAAACTATGTATCAAATTTTCATAAAAATGAAGACATGTACTAACATAAACATTATTTCATATGTCTTAAATTATTTTTAGGACCAGATGGCTTAGACTTGGATAAGTACTGGAAATATCCAGGTAGGTACTATTTTATTGAGAATTAGTCTCTATAATCTGTTACTAGGCAGTAAACAAGCATCAGACGAGTTGATTATTCAGCGCAGAGTTATAGCTAACCTTTAGAGTGCTAGATATTTTTAAAAATTTAGTGCAAATATTTCCACATTTTGTAAAATTTTCACTAAATATCATCATATTTTGGACCGTACAGACAGTTTTAGATATTGTTTTTAGTTTTTGATCAAAAGGTTTGTCAATTTTTATCAACTTTTCATTAAAAGAGAAGCAGACTGTACAAAAAATTTTTGTAGATGGTGCCAAAAGTTGGCAATGGCACTCAAGAGGTTAATATACTGTAAAAGGATTAATTAATTCACTGGGTTTTATTTTTGCTTATTTCCATGATCAATACACTTTGTATATGTTATGCCATGTTATCCAGTGTAAGTACCACATGATGTAAACCAGAACACAATATTCTTCAACTTTTGCTTAAAATCAACATCATCACATTGAAAGTCCTAAAAATGCAGTTATTTCAACCGAAATGTTATCTAGCTGAGTACTGCAAATGCATAATTATTCACTGTGTTTAATTTCGTTATTTTCGCTGATGAGTAAAATCTGCTAAATTAATTCTAAAATAACAATAAAACTCTTTGTTTCCCTTATAAATTCTTGAAATTAAAACCCAGTGCATATGCTCAAAATATCATAATAGTGAAATTAAATGTCGGTGAAAATAAATGGTTTTACAATAGTTACTCTAAATGTGTCAGTCCGGCATTTCAAAACCAGTTGTTGTTTTTTTCTAAAATTTCACTCACTAATCTTAAGGCTTAGTTATTCTAGTGTTGTGTTCAATAATAATGTCTGAAATACACAAGCAAAATAGACCCCCATGCTGATTCACAAATTCCAATAGTTGTGTGAAGCCTATATTGCTTTGTCAGAGTGATTGCACAAATGTCCTGCATGTGAAAATACTAAATAAAGATCACTGCCTATTAATCAAGGTTAAATTCTGTCATGTTTAGTTTCATCTGTTCCTCACCAAATCTTATTTCAGAATATCCACAGAAGCTGTTTCCCAAGTTAGGAGTCACCTCGTTTCTTGCTACCATGGTGTTACCAAAGGATAACAAAAAATCCGAAACATTTGAAATTATTCAAACACTTGAAATCATAATAGGAAAGCCTGGTAATGGTGCTATCTGTGAAGGCATACATGCAGAGGTAAGATTGGATCTTGAGTAAACAGTGCCACCACAGTTTATATAATGATTCTTTTGTTTTTAGGTTACATAAGTTGTATTATATATTTGTTCTATATACTTGGTAGCATTAAATTAGATGTCTTGAACTTACGGTGGCAGGAACGTCCTTTGTGGGAGCGCGCACTCATTCATTGGTACAACAAATATCATTCAAACTCGGGTACATTGCTACAAATGTATGAAAAACTTAGTAGCAGGTGAAACTCCATAGACGACAATGTTAACATATGACAAGATTGCTATATGAAAATGATGAACAAAGTTGAAAACATTGCTCAAAAATGGGAAATCAACATGCCAGTAATCAACTGCATGAAAAAAACTAACATGTTGGCCAGCTCAAACTTTTACAAATCTCAGGTAAACAAGACACACCTACTGTATTTGGATTGCACCTAGAGAAATCACTGGAAAAACACAAAGATTAGAACATCCAATTACACACAGAATAAACCCACAGGTACACAGCCGCTAAGTAGTAAACAAAAGACCACACCTTTGACCCAGGTGATCACGCCCTCAAACAGGGAGCACCTGAGAAAATAAATATTTAAAAAATTTCATTGGTTCTTGCAAGGCATTTAAATTGATTGTGGCATGTGTTGATTAGTGGCATGAGACCTTATGCTCTGTCGTGTTCATTATGTGACATATCTGCCCAAAACCAACATGCATTTTGCATGCATGCAATATGGGGACTGTAATGCTTTTATATTAAATGGCAATGGTTTTTGCACAGTCCATGTTTAGATTTTGTGCAAACTAAATCTTTGCATTGTTTATCATATGGGATGCATTATTGAATACATGTTGCAACAACATCACTCGCATATTTGTTACACTATCCAGGGACCAATTGTCAATGACTTAGGGGGTCTTCCAGAAAGCGACAATGAGATGGACATTACAGAGTTTACCAGGCTGTTAGATTCAATGCCGAGCTGTAAAGTTATGACTATAAGTCCCCATGTTGATAGGAAATCAGATTATCAGAGAATAAAACTGCTTCATGAAAGGTGAGTCAGCCAAACAAGTTATAAAATATTGTATTCCATGTTGACACTGAGGATACAGACCTGTGAGGCAGTACCCTACAGGGTTACTACACTACCACCTGTCAGTTCGCAAAATACCGAAGCTTTTCCACCATGAAAAAATTGTTTTCTGATCAATCATTTGTTGTAACAAACAAATTCCGATTTTGTTCTTTGGCATGATTTTCTAATCCATGTAATGTAATTTTCTTGTCAACATATTTTTTGTTCAATAATTTGCTAAAAATAAACAAAAATAAAACATATTTTGATATGTACATAATATTATAATCATTTACTCACACATGAGAATAACATAAATCTTACTTTCAAAACTTTTTTTGGCATGATTTTCTAATCAATGTAAAAATGAAGTTTTTGCAAAATAAATGTTGATAATAAATACAATAAATAAATATAATAAACAATACATACACAGGCAGTCCTATAGGACATGAAAAGAAAAAAAAATGGCTGTCAGTTCATTTTTAAGATCTTTGATTATTTATTATTATTTTTTTTTATTTCCAGAGGTATTGTTCCATCCCTTGGCCATGACAAAATAGCCACAGAAGATGACATACTTGGTGCACTGCAAACCGACCCGTCAGTACAGTTCCACATCACACATATATTCAACGTCTGTACTTTTCACCACAGGTAAACGATTGTTTACAACTGATAGAAATGATGAATACCGTCATTATTACTATAAGGTTATTACGAAGATACCTAGTATGCACGAAGACAGTACAGTGGCAGTATCGATTGACGTGCAGCGGAGGTCGATGCAACAGCGTACTGTCTGAGTGCATATTTTGAGGTATCTTCGTTATAACCTTATTATTATACATCTTTTTCTACCACGGATACATCATGGGAATGCCGAAATCTAAAAAGTTTAGAACAGAATCACTTCTTTGTATGGAGTCCGGTCAAACTCTGGCTGGTGGCAGCTATGTTTGTTTTTATTATTAGAGGACGCTTATGCACGTAATCATTCCATATTTGGAATTTGTATTTCCTAATATGGTAGGATGAAAATACTACGTAAAATACCGCAAAATTACGGCACGCTGAAACTTATGGCGTTATGGTGACAGATTCCAAAGTGTTGGTCTTTTTCCTTATTTGGAAAATTTGTGTCTCATTTATGTCCCACTTTAGACACAGCATTTACATCATTAACTTTTTTTTTTAAGGAATCCAAGTTTGGTAAATTTTGGTTTGACTGAAGTATTTCCCAAGTTGGACAAATATAGTGGATTGACACCACCATCAGTTGAAGTCATTGGTGATATGCGTCATGTGTAAGTTTAAATTCTTTTTTTAAAAATAAAATTTTCTAGCTCTTTTTTTTATTAATGTTTTTTGTGCCAGGCGACAGTTCTGGACATTGAATGTCACTGTTGTCTCTGCTGACACATAGTGCATTTTTGCCACAGAAGTCATATCCATATTTGGGACTACATGACAGGGCTGTGCAGCCATCTTCCTATCAAATGGCAATTTAATGCGCTATCCTGGCGTCAACCAGGCTCGGTCGAACACAAGCACCTGCGGACCTTAACCAAGGTTCTTGCGAAGCCGCATTCGTTAGTGAATGAATCTCGGCCAGTGAAATTGGCCTTCCCATAGAGTCTGTGTCACACTCACCCAGGGTATGGGTCGACCCTTCGATGTTCAGCCTAAGGTAGGATTTTAACTTGAGTCTGATGCGAAAACCACTATGCTACCAGTGACCAGTTTCATTTACATTTCCATCTTCTTCTTGAAAACTTTGGGTGAACCTCTGTCTGATTTGTTCTTTTTGTGATTATATCTTCAATTCTCTATTTTTGGTGAATATTTTTGTCATTTTTGGTAGAAAATGCTATTTTCAGCTTCTGTTTGATACTGGGTATACCTAAGTATTCTTCATAATTAATGAATGTACTAAAATTATTTTAGAGAGAATGCCTTGTATAGGTGTTTTCACCTGATGCATTCTCCCCTTTGACACATACAGTTCATAAAACCTCTTTGAGGCACTGATATATTATTATATGTAACAATAATAAACAAACAAATAAATAAAGAAACAAACAAAAAGACTATTATGTGAAGTATTTGGTTATAAAAATTTGTATGAATTGTGGGAAATATGTACTGAATTTTCAATGATTTTATTGAATGTTGTCGATCATTTCAGCTTCCAATTTTTCGCTCCTCTTTACACAAAGTAAACATGCATGTGTGTCTGTGTATCAAGTTTTCTCTGATATCTCAAGAACCACTTAGAAACTAGGCACAATTCTACTATATTATGAACACCTAACCTGATTCGATTTAGGTAGAAATCTGTGCATGTTAATTAGGTAATTTGCATAATAATTAGTTTTAGGATGTTTATTGTTTATCTTTACATCTGTTTGCACACTTGCATTGAAACTTAAGTGGTGTTCTCACTGGACGAAATAAGCCGTTGTCACAACGCCTTTTATTTGAGAATGTTGTTAAAATGCTTGTGTGAACAGAATACGCCATTGTGACGTCGTCGTTTTTGGCACCATTGTAAAAGGGGTAGACCAGATCCTAAACGCCGTTGTCACACCGGCTCTTGCACAACGCAATGTGCCGTGTGAACACAATACGACGGCCAAACGCCCTTTATTACCGACTTATTTATGCTTGTCATTACACAAGATGGCGTCAGAGGTTACAGGTCGAATGTCTAACTGGTCAGACAAAGAAACAAGATTACTGATATCTGTATGGAGAGAATCAAATATTCAAAGAATGATGGGCCGAACGTCTAGGAATGCTAGAGTATATGCTGTGATTGCAGAGAAAGCGACTGAAAAGGGGTTGGACAGAACGTCATTACAATGTCAACGGAAGATCAAAACTTTACGTGTAAAGTACAGAGAAGTGAATGAGCACAACTACAGAAGCGGTAGAGATCCGAAAACTATACCATTTTGGGATGAACTACACAAAATATTAGGTGGAAGGCCAGCATTCAATCCTCAAACACCGGTGTTTTTACTAAGTGAGATCGCGAGCAGATTATCTAATAATTGCACAACAAAAAAACAGTGTTAACACCGGCGTTTTTTAGACGTGTGAGAATGTAGCTTGACATGAGTTTGTACAGATCTAAAGGTATATTCTAATTAATCTGTGCATGTAATTTGCATAATAATTAATCATTTTAATTAGCTATCTTTTGACTAGTGTGTCAAGTATTCATGCTGTCAAATAGGATATTTATTTGGTACTAATCTATATACATGTGTATAATACATCTAATCCACGTCTAAAAAAAACAACAACACAAAACATCAGTGTATAAATACAAAGTACCCCCGGTACTAACATTTCATTGTGCAACTTTATTAATTTATTCACGCCTACTACATGGGCAGCCTCATCACGCCTACTACATGGGCAGCCTCATCACGCCTACTACATGGGCAGCCTCATCACGCCTACTACATGGGCAGCCTCATCACGCCTACTACATGGGCAGCCTCATCACGCCTACTACATGGGCAGCCTCATCACGCCTACTACATGGGCAGCCTCATCACGCCTACTACATGGGCAACCTCATCACGCCTACTACATGGGCAGCCTCATCACGCCTACTACATGGGCAGCCTCATCACGCCTACTACATGGGCAGCCTCATCACGCCTACTACATGGGCAGCCTCATCACGCCTACTACATGGGCAGCCTCATCACGCCTACTACATGGGCAGCCTCATCACGCCTACTACATGGGCAATAATTTTAAACTCATAGTTGCTGTCGACATAGGAAGTAAAGTAAGCAAATAACACCGAATAAACGGCACGCTGTGTGGCGCAGATCGCGTGGACGGGTTTCATGTTCTCTGCACGTAATAAGCTCGGTTATTAAGCATCTTTTTTTGGGGATGCCCGGTGGCCGAGGGGAAGACGTGTAGTGGCGTGAAGCTAGGCGATTAGGTGCCGTACGCGAGCGCCGTTCGAGTCACGCACGCAGTACGTATTTACTATAATTAGACATAGTCTTTACCTTGCCGTTTATTCGGTGTTATTTGCTTACTACATGGGCAGCCTCATCACGCCTACTACATGGGCAGCCTCATCACGCCTACTACATGGGCAGCCTCATCACGCCTACTACATGGGCAGCCTCATCACGCATCACATCTCAGTGTATCCTTTAACCTTTTCACCACCAAACTTTTTCACCAAAATTTTTCTACACTTTTTTTTTGTATTCTTCAATATTCTGGAAATGATCCTAATTTTGGAGCCGACAGACAAAATTTGAGTAAATTTTAAGTTTTTGTCCCATTCTTCTGAAGGAAAGTGCAACCTATACACAGGACTATTTTGTGAATTTGTCACGAAAAGAGGGAACTGGTGGCGAAAAGGTTAAGGTGCAACAAAACATGGTCTGTATTTTTGTCATGTGATCTTAAAGTGCCTGTGCAATGCCCACCCTCACGTTTCCCATTTTAGATCTGTGTCTCACTGAAATGGGCAGTTATTGATTTTTTTGCTGAAAATGATTACTTGTATCCAAGTAAATTTTGGATATTTCACATGTTGTAGCCACGTCCACTTATCCTGAAACGGTCGACTGTTTCCGGATTTCCGACTCTGGCCGAAAGTGCGCCACCAAATGCCAAAATTTGAGAGGATGTCATACCCCTGAGCCGTAATAACACTGGTCATTCAGTATACTATAAACGATATACATTTTTCTCTATTTTTGTCTATTTTATTTTTTTTTGAGAGGGTTTTTAGATGTTGTGTTGTGGGCAGTTGCAGTGAAACGTATAGTCATAGTGTAAGTATTCACACGTTTCTAATCGATCCGAAGGTGCGACATCGGTGGACGAAAGCCACTCAACCTCAGATTCTTTTTTTTGTGTGGAAAAACTGTCCTCGTCCATGAAAAAAACAACTAGGTTTAAAGAGAAGCGCCGACAACGTAAACCTGGCGCAACACTTTTGAAAGAAATAGATTCCAGACTAGCCCATGATCACCGAGGCGAATTTCAGAAGAATTTGCGATCCTGATTATCGTTTTATAGAGACCATTTAGTCCCTGTTAAGTAAAAGGTAGCAATACTTTTGTACAGTGACACGAAAATGAAGCGTTGGACAAACAGGAAATTACACAGCCCTTACACACTGCTAACTGTTTTTATTTTCGAAGGCTAAAAGTTTCTGAATTGTTTGGTGATTGGTGTTGAATGTCGAATTCACACCTCTGTTCTTTTTTTACCTCCATGCTTGCAGCTTGATCTGCGTAATAATTTATGAAATAAGAATCCGGGCTTGGTCAATGTGTTTCCACCAAATGAAGTTTTAATATGATGTTATAATTATGACAATCATGCCATGGATCACGCTAACTCGAATCCACTCTGAATTTATCTGTATGTGTGTCGATCTCGATTATTTTTGTTATCCAATTAAACGCCGCTTTTAACGCACTTGCCCTCGTCGTGACCTGACGCGTTCACCTATTTCAAAAAAATGTCAATTTATTTCCATGCGGCTGTCATTTTTTTTTTATTAACTGTGATTTGTCGTTTTTTTTAATTATTTTATAGTGATCACTATAGTCTAATGTTTAGAATGTCAAAATATGTTCTCTTTTATTTTAATTTTGAAAGTTTTACTCAGACGATCGATGAAATAAAACAGTGTAGTGACGTGCCTAGTAACCTGCTAGATAACGAGATAATTCCGATGTCAAATTCTATTTTGTCCAGCGACAGTGTGTGCGCCGATGTCGGTGATGATCACGGTGACCAGCTACACCAGAACAGACATATTTCGCATCTAACTCAACCCCATGCAACAAAAATTGATACTATGTGTTCATTATGGTCCATTCTTCCTCGACGAACAAGTACATAAGTGACAACTTAGTCAAAGACGAGAAAATTTGCCTTATTTACACGTATCGGCAATGCAAGCTGCCATGCGACTTCCCCTTCTGACGTCACAAGGGGAATTTCTGTATGCAAATGAGAAGCTAATGAGGAGCCTCGTTTTAAAATACACAAAAATAAAGTTGCCGTAGACCGAGTTTAAAACACATTTTTTCACTTAAAAAAAATAATTCATGCTTAGAAACATAAAAATTAATAATATTTATGTATCAATGGATAATTTTAGGCGTGAAAATAGCAGCCATTTCACAGGCACTTTAAATCTCGTTGGTAACTGAATAAATAAATTATGAGGAAGTAATAAAACATTTGTTTTTCTTTACAGTCACCCTCTGACTATTTCAACACTTTTGAAAACAAGGAGTATCAATAATGTAGCCTTTATATCAGATTGTACGGCTGAATCAAACCCGGGAAAGAAAGTGAAATATTGTGGTAGAGATGGTACGTAAACTGTATATTTATTATAAAATAATAAAATTATGGGAATTCTCGGGGGCGGACATCCGGGAATTTTCAGCGCATGGCAACCATTACGGTGAAAACAAGCGCCGAAAATCTCTCAGAAAACGGTACGTTGGGATGGTTGTTGAGACTCCCCTGAACAGTGTAACAAGATTACCCCTGCGTGTGTAAAGCATATAAATTTAATTGTTCAGGATTACTTCAAAGTTGAGTTCCTGTTGTTTACTCGATTTTTCATATTAGGCTCTTCGCTCGGCGTTCCGTGTTCCTCAGCAGCGTGCACAGAGCCCATAGAAATATGTGGTACAGTGGTGCGGGTCTTAGCAACGTGGAATGTCTTGTGGCGTAGCTTCACCCCCCTTTAAGTATGCACGTAGACGATGATTGCATCAACCAACGTGAAGGACGATACCATCACCATACTTACTATATTCTTGTGATAAACTTATTATTAATTTAATTTTTTTCTGCTTGAAGTAATAATTGGATGGAAGGTGACAGTCCAGAAAAAATTCGCGTTATGCAAACATTTGCATTTAGCGACTCTGTTTCTGACGCATGAATTGTATGTTCATTTCATGATTTCTTGTATTCAGTGAAAGCTTCCATTGTTGTCAATTTTTAGTTTTGTATCAACCTTTGGTTCTAATCTGGTTGCATCAAAACTAAAATTGCCTTAGGAAAAAAATTATGGAAAATATGAGAAAAAAAATTCAACAAAATTTATTTCATGGTCTGCTGTTTATTTGTACAACATGTATTTTTAACAAACTAAGTGTTATTATTCTCCCCACAATATTTATTTTTGAGATAATATTTTCCCAATTACTGAAAGACACAACTTAACCAGTTTGTATTTTTTTGTCCCCACAGTGGAAGTGTCGGCTGATGGCAAATGTCTTTATTTGAGTGGCAGCGAGACAATTGCAGGCAGTTGCTGCTCAGTAAAAGATGCATTCCATTCATTGGTTGAAACTCTTGGTTTGAATATTGGAGAAGCAGTTGCTATGGTGACCGAGACGCCAGCCAGGTGAGTGCTCATCAGCTGTTTCCACCACAGCCAGTGAACTGCATTAATTGCACAAGATATGAGTTTATTGGCAAATTTCGTGAGTCAGTGAAAATACAGAAATTTTGTAGTAGTGAGAATTACCCTGGGGGTTCTGAGTGTCAGTGACTTTTCTGTAGAGGCAAATAAAATTAAAAAAATGCATTAGCTGAATACTGCAGTCATTTTTTTTAACTGACTTTTAGTTTCATTATCAGTATAGTGATTTTTGTGCATATTCATGAATTTGTCAGTGAAACAATGAATTCTATTATTATTATTTTACATGTTCAAGTAGATTTAAATTTAGAGGATTTTATTTATTAGCCAAATTAAAACCCAGCTAATAATTAATAAAAATCTCTTCGGCTACATATCTTGGTTGACACTTTGCAGACATTTTGAAAGGTAAAAATTTCAGACATTGATGTTGAAATAGTTATGTAGCTAGGGTTAAATGCTTCAAAACATTTTTTGCTGAAAAAGTCTCAAATAAAAATTACTGTCAACCTGATTGACGGTTATTCATTTTTTTTTCAGAATTGCAAAATTGGATCACATTGGGAAAATAGAAGTCAACAAGAGAGCTGACTTGTTGCTTTTTGATAGTGAATTAAATCTGCAGAAAACTATAGTAGCTGGACAATTGGTTTATTCCGCATAAACTAGCAAGAAAAGATACTATTAGTATTGAGCAATATACAATAAATGTAGTTTATGGTTTACACACAGTACCTCTTCATGGCTATCTGTTATAGTACTCATCCCAATTTTCTCAGTTCAACCAAAAACTATTCAGGTTAATATTAATATCCATGTCTCAGAGCATCTGTGTACCAAGTTTCATTGAAATCTGATTATTGGTTCTTGAGATATCGGTGGAATAGACACATACATAGGTACATGTACATACATAAACACAGACGCACTAACCACAAAGTCTCCAATTACGTGCTCCGCATGCGGGAGTCAAATACTTACGAGAACAACGTCAGGTGTAAACAAAGTACAATGACAGTATCGACCAATGTGTAGCAAAGGTCAAGGCGTTACCGTACTACCTGAGTGCATACTTTGCTTGGTCGTTGCGCAGTGCGTGTTAGAATTTCAAGTAAACAATGTATTTTACACGCGATGTGTACATCGCTATGAGTCCCATATCGAACAGGGCGCGGCAAGACGGCCATCGCCCTTTAATGAGATAAATGCTTGAAATAAAAGCTCTGCGAACATTCTATTTTTATCATGCACTGATGGCGCTTCAGTATTTGAAGTGAAAAAGTGCTAGAATTTTTAACGCTTTCAAACATGTCTGTCCATAATTTTAACGAAATTCTATTGTTTTCGACGTCAGGCGTATAATACTTCAGAATATAATACAACTGCAGTGACAATTATATTTGAGCGACTTTGTATTTTATTAATATACAAATCAATTTAAATATAAATTATTAAATACACACTATCACAACTGATCAGATGCACACAAATCCATATGCAAATTTCCCTAGTCATGTCATTTTCAATTCTAAAATTGCTAATTCAAATTTCATCTCTGATTGGCTATTCAAATGAAAATAAACAGGTGGAATATTTGCATATTGTCACATAAATACCAATCAGTATTTGAAGACTAATCTCATTACTCGCTAAGCAATAGTTTTTCCTCGGCTTCAGTGTTTACTGCCGTTGATGAACTATCTATGAGAGAGTCTTCAGCATTGGCTGCCAACAATGAACTATCAATTAGATCTTCTCTTTGTTCTTCCTTTTCTGCCTCCTGATAGATTCTATCACAAAGTTCCTCATTGGTCAAAGAATGAGGATTCAACATAACAGTCTCCCGATTGGTAACCGCCATTTCGTTACGTAATTCTACAAAACTTTTGTCAGCTGACAGAATAATAAAAACTATTTCTCTACGAAGTAAGACGTCTAGTCTGCCGGCCTATTAAAAATAAACAAAATGGCACATTTGGAACAGCGTTGTCAAGTCTTGGTTGGACAATAACTAAGCCATATTTTGCTAACTTACTGTCAGAATATTAAATCCCCATAACTGCTGTAAAATTACTGAAATCACTATTAACTGACACTAAAATCAATCAACTTTTTCACCACCAGATTTTGCCGCCCAAATTTCTTTGCAATTTTTTTTTATATTCTTCAATATTTCTGCAAATAAACCCTAATTTTGGAACCAACAGACAAAATTTCAGTCAATTTTTAGTTTTCGAACAAAAAATTTGTGTATTTTTGTCCCAAACTCTGACGGAACGTGCAGACTATAAACAAGACTATTTTGTGGATTTGTGATAAGAAGAGGGAACTGGTGGTGAAATGGTTAAGCATCCTTCCAAAATAATAACAGATGGTATTGTCAGTATGGCAAAATGCCAAAATCTTGCAAAACACTGAATTTTACAAGTTGGCAGTTTGCATCTTAGTGAGTCTTGCAAAATATAAATAGTCTGTGTGGATGCCCTCAAAATATAATATAAAAGCCATTTCTGGTTCTAAACAAATTACGTTCTAAGTTTTTAGACAATGAATGCACTACTTAATACAGAAATCAAATTAAAAAAAAAAAATTTGGTTCTCAACCCTGTTAAATCCCACTAGCTTCCACAGTTGGATTGTACATTAAATATAAAATTGATTTGTTGTGAGATTATACTCAAATACTCACTTTAAGAACTAATAAATGACTTTAAAATAATAAACAAACGTGGATAAGTTGAAATTGTTAAAAACACTTGAAAATAATGAAAAAATAAATACTACTCGTACCACAGTACACATTGCAAAATCTGCCGCATTCTTAGTTCGGCCACTCTTGTGGTTGAAGTGTAATCTCTGAGTGTTTATAAGATCCTGATACGCTTTGCTTTCCGTGGGTTCTTTCCAGTTGGTTTGACCACCGTGGAACGCCCATACAAAAGTTCTCATGGGTAACACTCTCGGCAGCTTCTTAAAGAATCCTGCCCAGTTGTCTAAATCAACGAGAATAATTTGAGTCATTGTCTGTAGACGTGAAAACGAAGGTTCCTGTCGTGTTTCTGACGTGTTCGATGGTGTCAACACTGAACTAGGCACCAGATCGCCATTGACTTTGGAAAGATTTTCTTGCTGAACTGTTCTTGCTGTATTATCTTCTAGTCTCGACATTTGAGAATGGAGTGGTGCTTCACTAGTACTGCTAAGTGGTAACTGACTGTGATGAGCGTCTACGTCTGATGACAGAGAATCCTGGTTTGAAATGTCTTCCATTTGTACGTATGAGTGATGCTCATTTGTATGTGGTGAGAACGTTGATATTGACATCAGCGGTTGGGGAATTGTTATGGACATCAGAGGTTGTGGCTTGGAGCTGACTTTCTCGTATCTGGGACGTTTAGGAGGGTGACTCTTCTTGGAATTCCGTGTATAAGGAAAGAACCTCTGACCATGTGGATTTGGTTTATGCTGTTGCTGTGGATTGTCTGAGCCTGCAGGTGACCCACGTTTAGTTTTATTATTTATCATTTGAGACAATACTTGTATTGTGCTATCAGAGCACTTATCCAGTATAGAATCAATCTCGTGCTTCATGGACACATTAGACTCGACAAGATTTATCAAGTGTGAGACTTGCATCCCATCACTCTTAGATTCACTACCATGATCAGTGTGGAGCGTCGATTTATCATTTCCATTTGCAGAATTAGATGCATTTTCACAGAGCATTGATTCATCGTCTGATGAATTAGACTCGGTAAGTGAATCAAACTGTTCCTCTTGATTGTCCACATCACAAACAGAATTGATGTTGAGATCAGTGACATCTTCTTCATATCCTGCATTTACAGCGTATCTGTTCACCGCCGTTCCAGGATCTGTTTTTATAAACCCCAATCCAGATTTCGACAGAGATCGCATTTTCCAGTTCTTGCGTACTCTAGTCACAGGAGTGCCTTTTTTTACAAACTCGGCAACATGACTGTCCTTGAAATACTCTGATAGATCTGGTGCAGATTTCAATTTCAACACAACACTGTGGTACAAAATGTATTCTCTGAACGTTGATAGGTTCTTGTAATTAAAACAACTCTGTGAATTTAAAAGACATTATCATAGATTATTTTTACGGTACTAGTAGTGTCAATAGACTTATTTTCAATATTGTATTGCAATATTTTGCATATATTTATACATTTTGATTTTGGGTCCAAATGAACGTAATTTCCAACACAGACCTTGATTATAATTGTTAAAACAAGTCATGTCTTGACAGAGTCCCTGTTAGTTAAACAGTAAACAAAACTGAAATGAGTGTCGGTCATTTTGAATCAGAACAAGAAGCAAATTACATAAGAGTAAAGAAGTAAGCTTATGTATTTTTTATTCCAATGGAAGGGAAAATACACATTTCTATTTCTGCTTTCTTTTCATGTCATGTACCTAGTTGTAAATTTGATGTACCAAGATGGACAATAGATGTTGATGTGTAACCAAGATTCAGCTCAGAAATGGCAGAAATGTTTGAAATTTTAAGCATAAAAATGGCTGCCATTCAGCCATCTTTAATCAGATCGTGAAACAAATTGATATGCATATGTGAAATTTGAATGTGATCAGCCCAGGCATTTCCTAGACAGAGGTGAGCAAACACGCACAGACGAACAGACAGAGAGAGCACATGTGCTATTAATAGAGAAAGTATGCTTGACTATATATTGTATACTTATAATGGATATATAATGAAACAACAGTGTTTTTCATCTTCATTTGATAATAAGACACAAGTCTACTTAACCAAATACCCGTGTTTAATGGTGGATTGGGCAGTGTATAGCAGACAATGGAAGATGGGCTTGCAAGGTAAACCCAACCAAGCACTGAATTGTATGCAGATTACTCTTTGGGAGAATATTTTGGTGATTTCAGTAAAAACACTTACCTTTATTTTGAGTGCTTTACACATCTTCTTATGGTTTTGTACTGCATTTGATTCAGTATGGCATATATAAGAACCGCAGCATTCACACAGCCATGGAGGATTTAAAAACATTTCCATGCAATTTATAATCGGATGGTTTGGTAGCGGAACAAGTTTTGGATCTAAACAGCTGAAAAAAGATGTAATTGGTGTTACGATCTTTTAGTAAAAGATCAATTGGAATAAACTACAATTTATTGGATAGTGCACTGTAAAAACTCTAGAATTTCCACGACTCTAAAAATTCTCACAGCAATATTTTTGGCTGCCGGGGTAGTAGTACTGTAAAATGACCAATTTTCACTGGGTTTAAATTTTGCTGATTTACCATTTCAGGCATATTCGGTGGGTTTTAAATTCACAGTTTTATCATTTAGATAATGTGTTCTATGCTAAATTTTTCATAATCACTGGGTTTTAATTTAACACATTTTCCAGTCAGCGATATAAGCAAAATTAAAACCCAGTAAATAATTAATCCCTTTACAGTATTACGACTAGTTAAAGTCCACTTTTGGCACCATTGACGAAATAAAACCCAAATATTTTTTTCCACATTTTTACCAAAAATTTAATTAAGACCAGTGTCAATTTGGACAAAAATTAGGAAAAAAAAAACATATCTAAAAGCAGGCAAAATGATGCAAAACTGATGTGCTCAAAGATTTAAATGGTTAGGTGACAATCCTGAAACTTGATTACTATGGTAACCATATTTGCTCTTTTAGAAACACAAGTCCACTATTACAATAT